CTATAACATAAGTCGCTTTAACTTATCAGAAAGCACAGATCCAACATATATTTTCAGTTGAGATACTCACATGTTGTACAGTATCTGAAAGACTTAAGATTGAAATACTTGTATGCACAACAGATACAGGTAAAGATACAGATGGAGGTAAACATATTGCATCCCAGGCTCTTCCAACAATGCAACATACAGAATCCAAGGCAAACAAATAAATAAAATAATGCAAGAACAAAACATTGAAAGAACATAATAGAAAATGATTAAACGGAATGTAAGAATAAAACCAAAACTGTACAGTCAAATGAAGGAAAAATGTATACTGTAATACGCGAAGGTATGACTAAAAAGGCTGTATACATACATGTTATGTATAAACAAATAATATACGAACAGTGCATCAATTGTTTTTATTTGCCATTTTGAAAATCTCATGACTTTTTGTGTAAATACTGCCCTTACTTAAATAAAATAATACAGCAACTGGTGGCAGCATAATAAGTTTGAACTTTTATTGAATAATTGATCTGTTACAAGAATTTGACAAAGCTCTTCCTCTCTCTTGTCAACAGGTCTACGATGAATATGAAGATGAAGATGAAACTCCACCTGGTCCCCCGAAACATACGGTAGTTTTACCCCGTGCTATCAGGACCGCATCTACAGTTTTGCACAGAGATACTCTCCAGTGGTCTACACCCTGGTGTTCCTCGTGGCTCTGGTTGGGAACGTTCTGGTTCTGTGTGTGATCCGCCGCTACCGAAACTCTCAGAGCGGAGGAGCCTGCGCCTTCTCTCTGACCGACACCTTCCTGCTCCACCTGGCCATCTCCGACCTGCTGCTGGCCTTCACCCTGCCACTGTTCGCAGTGCAGTGGGCTCACCAGTGGGTGTTCGGCCTGGTTGCTTGCAAGATCTCCGGCGCCCTCTTCTCCCTGAACCGTTACAGTGGCATCTTCTTCCTGGCCTGCATCAGCTTCGACCGGTACCTGGCCATCGTCCACGCTGTCAGCTCCGGTTGGAAACGCAGCACTTGCCATGCCCAGATTGCGTGTGCCCTCATCTGGGTGGTGTGTCTGGGCCTGAGTGGAATAGACATCTACTTCAAACAGGTAGAGGCTGTGACAACTGCAGGAAATGAGAAGATGTTGGTGTGCCAGGTGTGGTTCCTTAAGAACTCCATCCAGTGGCAGGTGGGGCTGCAGCTGGTCAGCCTGGTGCTTGGTTTCGGTCTCCCTCTGTTGATCATGCTCTACTGCTACATCCGTATCTTCAGGTCTCTCTGCAACGCCACTCGCCGCCAAAAACGCAAGTCCCTCAGCCTCATCGTCTCCTTAGTGTCAGTGTTTGTGGTCTGCTGGGCGCCGTACAACTGCTTCCAGCTGGCAGACAGTCTGCACCGGCTGGGCTTGGTGGTTGGAGGATGCCATTTTGGCCACGTGCTGGACATGGGGAGTCTGATCACTGAGAGCGTGGGGCTGTCGCACTGCGCCCTGAACCCTCTGCTGTACGGCTTCGTTGGGGTGAAGTTCAGGAGGGAGTTGGCCAGGATGTGCAAGGGGCTGCTGGGACAGAGAGGCTTCCTGGGGATGGAAGGCTGGAGGGAGAGGAGGCTCAGGAAAACCACAGGATCATTCAGCTCTGCAGAAAGTGAAAACACCTCCTTCTCTGTCATGGTGTGATATTGGTTAGAGGAACAGGAAAATGTGTATAAGAAAATTGCTTACTTAAGACTTTAAAAATGTTCTCAGAGGGAAAGTGATACATTTCAGGTGCTTTGATATGTGTTTTGTGTGTGTTTGTTGCAGCTTCCAACCTACATTCACAGTCATTTTTTCAAGTAAAATCATTAAGTAAGTGTGGAGTAAACACTGAAAAAGAACGCCACCTCCGAACATGCTGATGTTGCTTTCATGTAAAGTGTTTTTGTGAGAACGTGTGTATTTTCATGTGCATGGGTCAAATCTTGTGAAACATCTGAATTTCTTCACAACTCTCAAAGTGCGCTATCAGCAGTGGAGCTTGTGGTTTGTTTCTCATCCTTACAGCCAGTAGATGCTTCTTATCAGATTCCACACTCATGTAGTTTGTAAACTCAAATAAGTTTCAGCTTGTAAAACTGTGAAAATGGTTGTAATGGTTTAGTTTGACTTCTCATTTCCCGTTTTTTATTTTTTCATGATCCTTGTGCAGCTGTTCTCTCAGCTAGGTTCCTTAAAACTTTGCAAAACAGGAAATGTATACAGATGATTTTTACAATAAATATTTTGGGGTATCCATAAAGTGTCGTGTTCATATATCCATCAACATCTTAGTGGTCGAATAACTTGGTTCAAGTAGTGTCATTCATTTCAAATCCTACAGGTATTAGTACTTTACTTAAGTATTTTAATTGTATGCAACTTGCCACTTCTCCTCTACATCACAGAGGCTTATCTTTATCAGTGCATTGTATGCAGTGGTGGAAAGTACATACTGTACTATACCATTCAGGTACTTCTACTTCACAACATTTCTGAGGGAAAAAGTGTACGTTTTACATACTACAGTACATTTATCTTTCAGCTTTTGTTACTAGTTAATTTAGATATTCCGATTTGTACACACAAAATTATCAAGAATATTAAATGGCAGCAAGTTTTCTAATGATTTTAGTATTTTTGTTTTCTAAAAAAAATGGTCCAGCTTCCCAAGTATGAAGATTGTGCTGGGTTTTTTCCTGCAATGTGTACTTTTATTCCTAATTGTTTAAGTATATTTTCTTGGCCATAGATAAATACTTATACTTTAGTAAAATGTGCAACCAATACTTAAATCTGTTCCTGAATACTTTTTCCACCTTCTTGTGTCATTAACTTATTATTTATTATGACATTTTGTTTGCATGTACAATCTTAATCTCAAAAGTAATTTATACATTCAGAAGTATAATGTAGATAAACTGATTAACATGTAAATACTAAGGCAAGACAAGGCACGTTTATTTGTATAGCACATTTCAACACAAGGCAATTCAAATTGCTTTACAAAAATGAATGACATTAAGAGCATTAAGAAACATATTATGAAATGACATTTAAAAACACTAATTTAAAAGCAAAAATAGATTAATAAAAGTGACAGTGCATTGTGAGATACACACATCTGAAATGTTTAGCTCTGTCTCTCAATCATAGCTAACTTTTTAGCAAAAATAGTTTTCTATCACCTCCCTTTCTCTCTATTTTATTGTTTAACTTGTCCTTTAGTTATTTCAAGCGTTTCATGCTAAACGAACCCCCCTTTGGAAAATTCTAATCTGACCCCATGGTACCTTTTAGTTTTCGCCGAAACTTTTCCTCTTTTTTATTTTTAAATGCACATAGTAAAGTTTACCTTGTCTTTCTAGGACTTTTTTTGGTATCCTCCGTGAACCAGGGTCTTGAAACCAAAACTGATTCCTGTACCCTTTAGTTTTCGCCAAAACTATCCCTCTTTTTTATAAATGCACATTAGTTAAGTTTAAGTTGTCTTTTCTAGGACTTTTTTGGTGTCCTCCGCGAACCATGGTCTTGAAACCAAAACGGCACACGTAGGGGACTCTAACCACCTACGGGGGGACTTTAACCCCAATACACGTAGGGGACTTTAACCCTAAAAATAATAAGCCTGAAGATATCAGTTAAAACCAGCGGCAAAATGGCATTTAAAAACAGTAATTAAAAAGCCGAGATATTAAAATAAACATTAAAAGAAAAAATACATGGCAGTTTAAGATATGAATAGTTCAATTAAAAGCAGCGGCAAAAAGAAAAGTCTTCAGCCTGGATTTAAAAGTAGTAAGAGTTTCAGCGGACCTGCAGGTTTCTGGGAGTTTGATCCAGATATTTGGAGCATAACAACTGAACGCTGCTTCTCCATGTTTAGTTCTGACTCTAGGGACAGAAAGCTGACCTGGAGACCTGAGAGATCTGGATGGTTCATAATTTAGCAGTAGGTCAGAAATGTATTTTGGGCCGAAACCATTCAAAGCTTTATAAACCAGCAGCAGTATTTTGAAATCAATTATTTGACAGAGAGGAAGCCAGTGTACAGACTTCAGAACTGCGATGTGATACACTTTTTTAGTGTCAGTGAGGACTCGAGCAGCGGCATTCTGAATTAGCTGCAGCTTTCTAAGCTCTACTGAAGATAAAAGCATGGACAAGTTTTTCCAAATCCTGCTGTGACATTAGTCTTTTAATCCTAGATATATTCTTAAGGTGATAGTAGGCTGATTTAGTAATTGTTTTAATGTGACTGTTGAAACTCAGGTCAGAGTACTAAGGTAAAGTTTATGCAGCTCTAAATTGTACTTAAGCATATATCCCACAGCAATACTTTGCATTAATATGATTCCTTGTTATGATTCCTATGACTATGAACACTTTGCAACGGTTTTATATGTATCCTTTCTTCTGATTTATTTTTATTTTAACTTGGGCCAGTTCATATTTGTTCAGCTATCTCGATGATAGATTAAAAAACTATGACCAAACCCCCCTCAAACATTGATTTAAAAAGCCATATATATGCAGATTGTATTCCAACATAACTATCATGGTATCAGTATCAGGGGTTAACAGGCAGGTTGAAACATGCTTCAGGTTTGATCTGATGTTCTTAATAGAAACACAAATTCAACAGCTCTACCTGGTGGATAGTGGCTGTCTGTGCGGCGCATTGTTTGACTGCTTTGTGTTCAGCAGCGGTTTCGTTTCGTCAAGTCAGCCACAGAAAGCGGAAACGCGAAATGTTGGTAATTTGACCTTCAAAATAAAGCTCGGGTTGCCACAATTGCACAAACACCATGGGGAATAATCCAAGTTTACCAATACCTGCTTTTCTAACTATAAAAGTAAGTGCTTTGTGTATTCCCTCAATTCTTTATCTTGGTTTTGGATTGTGAATGTTACAGTGAATTTTAATGCAATATTTTATTTTGAAAAAAGACATCAAGCGTCTTGGTTTTTCGTGTGATTTGGCGGTTTGTCTGATTTTGCAACATGTAAGAAGAGGTGACATTTGATCAAACAAAACAATCATCAGGGGAACTTATTACAGTGAACGTAAGTAGCCTGCATTGTGTCCATGTTATTGGCTGTAAGGTCACAGAGTATCCTCTTAGTGCGTCCATGTTGTAAAAACTTCCAGCTGGTGAAGCGCACATTTTCTCACCGTCTGCTTTTACTGTCCCCTGCTTCCCCGGTGCTGTTGTTTTCGTGGATTCACCCTCAGCCTATTTTAACGCGCAGATTTTCTTTCATTTTTAGTGGTTATTCCATGTTTGCGCTTTTACTCGAAACCGGATTTCGTGCGTTTTTCTGCCGGACTTGACTGGCGCTCGACAGCTGGATCTGATCCGTCCTCCTCTCTCCAAAAACGGAGACTGTGTTAGCACATTTTGACCCCGGTGCGAAGAGATACGTGCAAGTAGAGAGGCAGCTGAAGCCTTTTATGGTAAGTAACATTACTTATGTGCAAACCCACAACATCAATAATCGTTTCCTTATGATATATGCAGACTTATTTAACCTGATTGCCTTTATTACTTAAGAAGTTGAAGCATTTCAGCTTGAGCCAATATTGCAGAATTCATATTGACGTCTGTTTCTCTTTTAGTCTTAGTTTCGAAACGTATCTTTGCTTCGGGGCCTGTAAGTTATTCATGTTTTTTGCGGGTTTGATGTGCCTTATCTTAGAAACAACCGTCACTACTGGTTTCGATGTTTGCATATCTACCTGAATAAACAGCAACACTTGCCTTGAGCTCACAGCCACTGTGCATAAAATAGCTCCATAGGTTGTTTCAGTATGACCAAGGGGAACTGGGCTTTCTAACACTCCGTCCAGTGACATCATACACCATGTGAGTTTGGGCAAGTTTTAACAAGCATCAGATGGAATTCCCAGCCATGACTGTCAAAAACACAGAGAGAAGAGAAAGGGAAAGAAGCAACAGAAAGAGTATACAAGCTGGTATCTTTCACTGACATCCATCCTCTGGAGTACTTGAGCATTTTGGACTTCTCTCTCTGTAGGTCAATCCAACAGTAGATGAACATGGACGTGGATGTGGGTGGATTCCTTGTCCAGAACGGCACCTATGACTACGATGAAGACTACGAGTACAAAGAGGAGATTGAGGCGAGGGTCAGTAAAGCAGTGTTGCTCCCCATCCTCTACTCCCTGGAGCTGGTTGTAGGTCTGCTGGGGAATGCACTCCTACTGGCTGTTCTGGTTCAGAAGAGGCGATCCTGGAGTATTTCAGACACCTTCATCCTCCACCTGAGTGTCTCCGACCTCCTGCTGCTGGTCTCGCTGCCCCTCTGGGCCGCAGAGGCTGCTCAGATATCTGGGTGGTGCCGTGGGGGATTTCTTTGCAAGATCAGTGGAGCTGTATTTAATGTGAGTAACAAATACTATGTTGAAATGTAAAGTTTTAGGTTTTAAAGTATTTATTGTCATATATGCACAGCAGCTTCAGCTAGTCCCAGGCTCCTTCCACAATGCAACGTATTATATAAAGTAAAAAATGGCAATTCATCATTACAAGTGGTTCAAGTAAAATTCAGGAATAAGAATGAATGAGATGAATCTATCTAAAATAAAAAACTGTACAGTTGAATGACATCCTGTATTCTTAATAACATACAAACACATATGTGGATTATAAACAGATGTACAGTATGTACTAGAACAGACAGAGACTGGAAAGTGAAAGCGGGATGTTTTCAGTGAAGCTGTGAGAAAGTGGGGTGTTTAGGCTGAAGGCCATTAATTAAATTCTGAGTGAGGGATTCTTGGCAGAATGAGGTTATTGTACTTGATACTTTTATGGAGCGAGGTTCACTCCCTGCTGGCAGCCACATTCCTCCAGGAAGCTCAGGATTTCTGGGAAGAGTCGAGAGGAAGGGAGTAGTGAGAGTGATCGAGACAGCTGGAGTTGTTTAAAGAAGATAAGATCAAACTTTATTGATCCCTACAGATAAATGCAGGTGTCTTGGCAGCAACGGCAAAAAATATATGTATTCACACAAAGATAAGAAAATAATAATTAAAAGAAAATGCATAGAAGAAACTTAAAATAAATCGAAGTGACTGTAAAATTACAATTAAAGGTCTTAACATATATACAGATATGGATAATTATGGATGTGTTAAATATAGAACAAGAAGAATAACTTTATTTGTATAGCACCTTTCATGCAAGGATGCAGCCCAACGTGCTCAACAGAACAAGATGAGTTTAAAATAAGTAAAAACTGGTTACAAAAACAAAACAGAACACATGTACATTTAGAAGTGTGAGTCAGAGTAGCTACATTACAAGTACTTTATTTATTGTGGAGCCTGATGGCACGAAGGATAGTCCAAGGCGCTTTGTGGTGTGCCAACGAGGGATGAGTCACGAGATCTTAGCTCATGGTTTGTTTGTTTGTTTTTTCCGCAGATCAACTTCTACTGTGGGATGTTCCTGCTGCTCTGCATCAGTCTGGATTGCTACCTGTCCATCGTCCACAGCACCCAGCGGTTCTCCCAGAAGAATCCCAGGTCAGCTCACGTCTGCTGCCTGTCGGTGTGGCTCCTCTCCGTGATCCTCTCCATCCCTGACTGTATCTTCCTGTCTGTGAATAATGACACGGGGAAAAGTCTGTGTAACAGCTACTCTCAGTCCCTATCTACCTCACAGCTGGTGTCCCACCTTCTCCACCTCACACTGGGCTTCCTGCTGCCTGCACTCGCCCTGATCATCTGCAGCTCCTTCATCCTGCTGCGGCTGAAACGAGGCTCTGAGGGTCCTCAAAAGAAGAGGGCCGTTAGACTCCTCCTGACCCTAGTGGTGGTCTTCTTCCTCTGCTGGATGCCGTACCACATCATACTCTTTGTAGACACAATTAGAAGAAGCTCTAAGGAACGTGATGGCGGTTTATCTAGAAAGAGTTCCCAGATTACAGCTCTGATGTTCACATCTGCTGTGGGCTGCCTGCACGCCTGCCTCAGACCTCTGCTCTACTTCGGCCTGTGTGGAAACTTCAGGGAACGGACGCTGGCCATGTTGACGTGTGCTACAGTAGACTCTAAGGGCTCGCTCTGGGAGCTGGGTGTGGGCGAGGAGGCCCTGCCTGAGCAGAATCACGAGGAGGAAGAGCTGAAACAGATGACCGAAACAGATGACTGTAGATCAGCAGGTGCAGTCCACTCACTGCTGAAGGATGGACAAAATGCCCCCTGTGACTCAGAGGTGGCTTGAATATCGCTCCACCCCTGAGGGGGATTTAGTGTCATGGGTTCAAGGGATGGAGGACGGATATATGAGTCTTTCACATTGCACTTTAATGTGAAGTTTTCCGAGTCACGTCATGGTGACACTTGTTGTTGAACTTTTATTTTGTAATCACTGTTGCACAATTTAAGCTTGTCACCCAGAATCATGAGTTTTTTATTTAACTGTAAATATCTGTGTTTTTATTATGCATTATTATTAGTGTTTTTATTGTAATTATTGAAAGCAACCTGCTTTTATTGTTTTAGATATTAAGAAAAAGTGGCCATTTACATTTTTCAGCTCCTCACAATCATCATAAAGCTAATTGCTGCTGGGTATTTAAGCTCTCGTAAAAACAATATAGTATAATCCTTGTCAGTGTTATTATAAGCGCCATTAAACGGTCCGACTGCAACACTTTTCATGTTATCTTGTTATATCTTGGCAGATAAGACCGTGTGGATTCCACGACTCAGTGTATGTTTCAACACCACAAAGCGAAGGAATTTCCCTTAGGCAAACCCCAAAGCCTTGTTTCTTTTTTGTCTGCATTGTTGCAACATGGGTGTGTGGACTGGATGATACAAACAGGTGGTGACGTCATGTGTCAGGTGACAGTGAGACAGAGGCAGAGAGGAAACAAAGCTCTCTGTTGGTGCGACGCCTCCACATAGCTCTCTCTGTTTATTCTCATCTGAATACATGTCTGTGTGTTTGGTGGACAGAGCACAGTGGAATAGAAGATTAAATCTCACAGTGCATGTTGTGCTAAACGTGTGGTTTCACCTCCATGTTGTGCATGTTACGGCCTGCCAGAGACTCCTGATTCCTGCGCACTAAGCAAGAAAGAAATGTCAAATGTGACCTGAAATAAAGCATATTACTTTCACAACCTCTTGTTCTTTCAGAAACGCAATGTACAATCATTTCACCCCAGAAGAAAAAAACTGTTTCCTTCTCTCTGCCCTCCTTTAGTTCCCTTTTCTGTTTATGGTGTTCAGGTTTATCAAGAGCTCATGGGAAACAATTTGGTCTAACCTGAGAAATACTGGTTGACAGTGACGGCAGCAACAAATCACATTTTAGCATGTCTTGTTCTAGTTATAGTCCTGAGTATTGCATCAGTTTGAAGTGTTACTTCCTGGGTCAGCTAGAGCTTCTCAGCACAACAATAAAGAGACAAGAGGCCCTTTTCTTTAAGGAGTAACACATCGGTTTTCAGTACACACTTTGTTAAACTGTCCCGCAGAAAGAGAGTTGACTTCCATCCAAAAAATAAGACATTGATCCTTAAAAGTACAAAGGTAACAAGATGATTAAAGTCTAATGCATGTTGACAACACACTGTTTGAATGGGCGTGAAGCCAAGCTCTGACAGGAAGAGTTTAAAAACCTGTCGCTCAGTTTGTTTTCTGCAACAGTGACTGAACCAGTAGAGCTGCTGCTTCTGGAGTGTTTCTTTACACTATATATAAACTGGTTGTTGCTGTAATCAAACGTTCTAACACTAACACCTCCAACAGGCTGCAGTGTGCCTTCATGAATACGAAGTGTTGTGAGCGATAGATGTGGTGGCATGTTGCGTTTTTTTGAGTAATCTTGTGAACATTAGTTGATATGGAGAAGACTGACACACTCGCTTCATTTCTCTTCTTTGTGCTTATCTCTTCTCGTTTCTGCTGAAGCCACATGTTGGAGGATGTGCGGCTTCTTTTCTCGAATTTGTTTCAAGTTTCCTGAAAATTATTTCCACCGAAACCGCTGCATGTGGGTTGAACGTTTCTTCTGCTGTTCTTCTGTGTATCAGATGTAATCCCCTGATCCTAAATGTATGATAAGCTTTGAGAGCATGTCAGAAAGGTGAGTACATTAAATGTATCAGGGTTTAATACACTATACAAGTTTCATGCTGCAACAATACCTCTTCCTTATCTCCTGTTTGAGTTCAATGGGATTTATACAGTACTGAATTTTAATTTTATAACCTCAATACTTAAGTCACTGTATAGGGCGTCATTGTTAATGACCAAATACCAAATTACAATTTAGAAAACCTACAGTTAACATTTTAAAAATCCAAAACAAATTGATCGCATCAACAAGACTTAATAAAATCTAAATAAAGCATTTATTAGGATTTAACAGGAAAACACTTGCTGTGATTTGCCCCTTTTAAGCCACCAACCAAACTGTATAACAATGTCTAGGTATTTAAAACAATATGTGTTCATCTAAGTTTATCATTCTTATTTTCAGTCAATGTACATTATGTTCTAACAGTTGTTTCAAAGGTATGACAATTGTTTTGCCTAAAAAATAAATTAGCCTCATAAGACTTCAGTCTAATGCTATGACCGCACTGTTTGGTGTAACCCCACCCACATGGCCACTCTCTTCTCTGGAGACAGCCTACATAGCCTTTGTTACTTTACTAGCCAGATGCCTGATATTGCTCATGTGGAAGTCTCCAATATCCCCTTCACACACCTTGTGGTTAAAAGAAGGCCTACATTCAGCCAAATTCGAGAAAATAAGGTGCTTAGTGCCCCTAGGTTCAATTCTCACAAAACACAACATCCCCTTCCACTGCTACGCCGACGATGTACAGATCTATCTGCCACTCAATTCAAATGTTAACTCATTACAGCTATTGATGGACTGCTTAGCAGAGATCAAATCCTGGCTGAGCCAACATTTCCTCAACCTCAATGAGAGCAAGACTGAGGTTATCTTTTTTGGACCCCAACCTCTAGCCTCCCAGGTTGATATTCTGGGCTCCCTCAAAAATAATATCCTCCCCTCTGTCACGAACCTTGGAGTGACCTTCAATAGCGCTTTTAAATTCGATAAGCAGGTCAGCAGCGTAGTCAAAACCTGCTTTTTTAAAATACGACTATTGGCCAAGACTAAGTCGTTTTTATCGTTTGAGGACCTGGAAAGGGTTATTAATGCCTTTGTTACCTCGAGGTTGGACTACTGCAACGCTCTGTACGTGGGTATGGACCAGGCCTCAATTAAACGCCTGCAGCTAGTCCAGAACGCAGCTGCACGTCTACTCACTGGCCACAAAAAGCGTGACCACATCACCCCAATTCTGGCCTCACTGCACTGGCTTCCAATTCGGTTCAGAATTGATTTTAAACTCCTTTTATTTGTTTTTAAAGCACTAAATGGGCTGGCTCCGGCCTATATAGCCAAACTCCTCCAGCGCTACACCCCAGCCAGAGCTTTAAGGTCTGCTGACCAGCTGTTGCTGATAGTGCCCAAGACCAGGCTCAAAACCCGAGGGCACCGAGCCTTCGCAGCAGCTGGCCAGAGGCTCTGGAACACTCTGCCCCTCCATGTGAGGTCGGCCCAGACCCTAGGGGTTTTTAAATCTACTCTTAAGACACACTTCTTCTCCCTGGCCTTTTAGTCAGAGCGGAGTACGACTCCTGACTTTAACCCTGTGTTTTCTTTTTAAATATCTGTTGTAATTTATTGTCTTTTATTGTGATTATAGAAATGTGTTTTTATGTGATTGTAGTTATTACATGTACAGCACTTTGGCCCGACCAAAAATCGCTTTTAAATGTGCTTTATAAATAAACCTTGATTTGATTTGATTTGATTTGATAGTGAGGGGCTCCCTGGGGAAATTCCACAAGATGTGGAACCCCTTCTACAGGTATATACGGGAGCTGGACATGCCGGATGTCTCTGTACAATAGGGTGGTGGACCTGCGGTGTTAAACTGTGTTTAGTGGGTGGCTGACTGACCAACAAGTGCTATGTTTTTATTTGATATGTTTGGTCTTTTTTTTTCATTTATACACATTGTGTATTCTACTTTTTCATTACGTTATTAATAATGGACTTAGACTCAGAGCCTTTAGTTTTTGATTTTGTTGTTGTTTTATTTGTCCTGTCTCAGTCCTTTTTTGTTTTGTTTAATTTTTTTGTCCTGTCGGACTCCAATCGCACTGTTGTCATCCTACTTGTTTGCCAACTGCTATTGTGCTGTCTGTTTGGTTGTTTGTTTATAAAAAAGTTTAAAAACAAAAATAAGACTTCTGTCTGTAACAAATACCTGTAAGTTGAAAACACTTGTAAGATTCAAAATATTTCAATCTTTATTTGAACAATGTATTTACATAATAACATATGCAGTAAAAAAGTATAAACAATATGTAATTTAAAGGTTTCTGTGTAAAACAGTAGAAAAGCTGCACGACGATACTCCTTGCTGTCAGAAAAGGGAAATGCTATGTTTCCATTACAACTCAAATAAATCTGCTGCTCACAGTACAGCTGTATGACCTCAGGTTCAGCTCAGACAAACAGATTTTTGTCCCAGTGTCATGTTGAGCTATTAATGCGCTGAGAACGACAGGAACATGAGAGAAAGGTTTTAAACACAGGACATTTACAGAAACACATGTTCAGCTGCTCAGATCTCACTCTTTGTGTCAGTTTTAATAAGCTTAATCAGGTTTATACGTGTGTTTTTAAAAAAAAATGTAAGGTAATTCTTTGGGCCACCAGTGCCTTAACTGAAGGGGGAGAAAGAGGAGATCACTTGTCTAATCTGATTGAATTAACAAAAATGAATTCAAACATAGATGGGTGGTTTGGATAATGCTTTGGCAGTTTTGCAGCAGCTGTGCATTTATTCTAGTTTCCCAGAACAACAAAACAGCAGTAACTGCAAACTCGATAATTAAAGATAAAGTTGAATTAACAGCTCTCTGAAACTATCAACTAAAACAAAACAAAAAATGTATGAGATGTAAATGTTCCTTGGGTCGGATTCAAACCCCTCTCCTCTGCAGCAAAGGCCGCCAGTTAGCTATACGGTGGCCTGGACATGACCTGTTGAAATGTTACAATGTGTGTGGATCCCTCTCAGACAGCGATGGAGTTGGAGGTGTCTGCAGACTCCGACCACACAGAGCTTCTCCTGCTGGTAACAGACTGCAGTTTGGCGCTCATCTTCAGCTGGCAGCCCATATACCTCAGGATGTCCACGAGCTGACGCCTGAACTTCACTCCCACGAAGGCGTACAGGATGGGATTGAGGCTGCAGTGGAGGTAGCCCAGGGAGGAGGTGACCACCATGGCTTTTTGCAGAGATCCTCTGACTCCACAGCTGTTGCCCGAATGAAGTGTGTCCACCATGAGAGTGATGTGGTACGGCGTCCAGCAGATGAAGAACACCACCACCACGGCCACGATGATCCTGAAAGCTTTCTGCTTCTGAAGGCCCTGGGAGCTGTAGCGCAGCCGGTGCAGGATGCAGGAATAACAGAAGATGAGGACGGCGGAGGGCAACAGGAAGCCCGCCGTGTGGGACAGCACGCGGGAGGCCAGTTCCCAATCAAAGACTCTATTGGGGTCGAAGCGGAAGTAGTTGGGAACACACTCTGTCCTGTTGCCTCTCCTGTCATCCTGAACAGCATCGTAAAAAACCCAGTCAGGGAGGGAGAGCAGCAGCGAGAAGATCCACACCGCCAGGCAGCTGATGTGAACCACCCGGGGGTTCCTGCGGGAGTACATCTGGGTCGCGTGGACGATGGACAGGTAGCGGTCCAGACTGATGCACGCCAGCAGGAAGATCCCACAGTAGAAGTTGATCTGGGGGTAAAAAGAAATCACAGACGAGTAAGAAACCTTTTTGCAGCCACTTTATCAGAATCAGAATCAGAAACAGGTTTATTACCAGGTTGGTTGACACGTACGAGGAATTTGACTTGATGTCGTGGTGCATAAAAGTAAAACAAGCATTTAACAACACAGATAGAGAACTAGAAAAATATTTAAAATAATACAAAATATAGTAAAATATAACAGTATTTACATAGAAATGAAATGGAATAAAATATGGAATAAAAATCGGCAGTAATACGCAAGAAAGGAAAACAGATATGGTTGTACATTGTGTGCATTCATGTAATTACTATCATGAACTTCAAAGGAGTACTCCACGCACACAATGACCATTTGTGTATCAATTTCTCACCACTTTTTATCTTAAATTCTGGAAGAAATCTTTATTTGCTCCAACGTGAACAAAGAATCCATAAACTGAGAAAATAATTGAAAATAAACGGGGGCTGCTTAGCAGAACTATTTTGTTTAGAAACTCTCACACTACTCGTGCAGTATAATCCAAGTCTCATCAGAATAGTTGTATGCTCACTACTTCCCTAACACATTTAAATACATCACGCCTACACAAGCTTGAGTCTGATACGGCAGAAGTCCTGTAGGCCTACTGTGTGCAGGAGTTGTGACATTTTTTAAACAGATGTTGATATTGTTTTGCTGTTCTTAAATGTAGCCCCCTCATGGAGACATGTGAAAAAAAGTGCTCTTCAAGAATTTAAGGTAACACAGGGTTGAATATTTGATATACAAGCTATTCCTTTAAAGAGTAAAGATGCTAATTTTCAAGTTCATATTTGTATTTTGTGCTTCATCTGTGACATGTCTGCATGCTTTAATGTGTTGGAGAGAAACTTTTGGATTTGTGCCTTTGCGGACCATTCAGGGGTGTCAAACTCAATTTCATCGCGGGCCACGTTAGCATTATGGTTGCACTCATTGGGTCAGTTGTAACTTTAAGACTATATAAATATACACATATAAATGTATATCATATATATAAAATAATGTATTATATTACATTATTGCCTCTGCATTGGATTATTATCAGATAGGGTAATAACTTCATAATTAACTACGTCTGAAAGGAGAAGCATGTAACCATATAATAAACGTATTTTATTCTTTGCAAGCTCTTGCGGGCCACATAAAATGAGGTTGCGGGCCAGATTTGACACACGGGCCTTGAGTTTAACACCCCGATTTACATGCACAGAAACCTTCATAGAAGCACCATAGGGCCCCTTTAAAGGTCCCCTATTATACTGTTTTTCATCAATATATTATAGGTCTCAGATATATACAAAACATGTCTCTGAAGTGTTTGGCTCCAAACACCAAACAGATCATTGCAGCATCCCATAATCCCCTCTGTTTCAGCCCTGTTTCCAAAGTGCTGATTCTCTGTCTGTTACTTTAGATGAAAATAAGGAGCCCCTCCCCACGCCCCTCTGAGAGATATTTGGTTACAAAGAACACAATGGTGCTCTAGGAGGAGATTCAGGTGATAAGGAGGTGGGGTGGTTACCTTGGTTGGTGATTGGCTAATGGTTACACGAGCCAAAAAATCGTTATGACATCATAAAGTGGCCAAAATCTGATCAGCTCATTTTCAGACAGGTTTTTATATAAATGGATCAGGACAAAAAGAGAGAGAATCTTTTTTCCTGAAACGTTCAGAATCTCTTTACACAGAAGGGACACATGTTGATGTAGAAAAGACATGAAAAAGTGGATTTTGCATAATAGGTGACCTTTAATTCAGTCTTACCGTAAAAACAGCTCCAGTGATCTTGCAGAGCGGAGTTCCAAACGTCCACCCTTCCTCCTGAGCGGACTGTGCGGCCCACAGCGGCAGCGTCAGCAGCAGCAGGATGTCGGCCACCCCCAGGTGGAGGATGAAGGTGTCCGTCACACTCCATCTCCCCCTGCTCCGAGCCAGAACCCCCAGCAGCACCCCGTTCCCCAGGACTCCCACAGCGAAGGCCACGGAGTACAGAACTGGTATGAACACAGACTCAAAGTGCGTGCCCTCAGTCAGGTCACACACATCACCGCTATCACAACAATACTCATCAGAGGAATTGTCATACAAGTCATCCATGCCGTCAAGCAGGCTGAAGTTGTCCATCTGGAATCTCTGTGCAAAAAGAAGAATAGAAGAAGGAAGGAATATAAACATGCATTTTGTTTGAGCATTTGATACTTGTTGTCTTTCAGCCACATGGTGGTGCTGAGTAGCTTCAAACTAATCTATCTATCTATATTTTTTTATCAGGGCATACATGATCATCTCTTAGACATACTCAAAAATCTGGCGCTTGTCCTGTAAATGAAGTTTTTACAACTTATTGTCAGTTGTGTGCTTGGAGGACAAAGGATTTTTTTTAAAGGTATTGATATAGCATAGAAATCCAATTTAAGGCCACTAAAGTGTCTAACATTAGTTTCTTTAACCCCATTGTTAAGGGTTTTGTTAAGTTTGTGTGTAATCAGTCGAAGGACATGTAACTACAACTAAAGACAACCCTACGGAGCCTGGTGTGCAATTTCTAAATGTAAGTTATGTTTTTACATTTCATTTGAGACTCTGCTGCATGTTTGGGGGTGTAGGGTATCTATGCATCGATCTTTGCATCTATCTATCTTTGCAAAGTGAAGTAAATGCCTCACAGGTTATATAAATGCTCTTTGCAACACAACGAGGAACAGAAAAGACAGAATCAGATCATATAGCATAAGTTATAAGTATTTTAGTATTTCTTTACGGAACAATCCAAAGCTTTAACGTATGTTTTTGTCCCAATCAATATAATCTCAGTTCCCTTTTTAGACAGAGAAAATAATGACAATTTTACGCACTACTAACTTTGAATTGGCAGATGGGGAAGAGAAAAATAATGGATGTCGAATGGGGAAGCATGTTTTCAATTCAGTTTCACGCTGTGCAATAAGTTTGTTCATGCACTAAAATGTCAATCCCAATGTGATTGTTAATGTACATTTGACTGTAGCTCCATCATTGTCCTATTGTGTAATTCTTCACTAAACGGCACCGTTTTCTTAACGGCACACTAAACAACCACATCACAGGCTTATCACTCCGTGGTCGCTTACTCTGAACAGATGGTGTGAGACCAAACATCAACATGGATGCACAGAGATGTAAAAAAGATTGAAGATTATTGGAAAGGTGCCAGTAATTAGTAACTTTGGTAAAGATGTCACTTTGGATCAACACATTTCTGTCACCACAATAAAAAATATTTGTGTGTTTTTCAAAAATCTTCTGAAAAGGACTTAAATTAGCAACGACGAAAACATCATGGATTATTTATTTGCAAAGCAACACTTGCTATTTGTATTCATGCAATTAGGAAAACAATTTTTTGTATATTTCTATACTTTTTCAAGTATAACTATTGATATCTAACAGAAGAGGTATCTTCATAAGGCTTTCTTTGGCATTTAACCTTCAACAAAATCGTATTATTGTCTTTATATGTGCTGATAAACACATCATAAAACAAGTAAATCATTACAAAACATACAAAATGATGCATTGATTCAGATGTGATGATTGAAATCCTAGATATATAATGCAATAAAAGCTGTAAAATAAGTTTTAACGTTACTTACCAAATTGTAATATTTGATCTTGTCACCTCAGCAGGAATTATCTCTATTGACACAGGGTTGCCAATAACACTGTGTATAGAGTGAGTGGAGGGGGAGGGGCCAGACAACACACCGACCCTAACCACCAATATATGTAAGAACATGAAATCAGGGAAAACTCAAGCATGCCAGTGTTTTATGTTTTCATATTTCTTATCTCTTTAGGCAGCTAATCTACACACACAAAAACTGTATATTAAAACTGACTAATTCTTAGATCTTTATGCTGATTCAGAGATATGGAAACAGACTATCACTCTGTCCTCGTGTCTTAAAGGGACTTGATGCTAATCTAAAGTCTGAATACTGAAAACACAACATGTGGGTAGGCTGGTAAACATTACTTAGAAACAGATGAGTAACATTTTCTCCAGTTTCACTCCAGAATCAGTAGGTGTTGATAAGAAACACATCATTGTCTGCATTTGCTCTGGTCATTTGACAGCAGTGTGCATAGATTTACTGCCAGGTGTTGCCTTTTTTAAGGTTTCATTTGCTTCACACAAAGGTTGCTCGTCAACTTCCTTTAGAAACCACATTTAAGATAATCCACCCGCACGCCTTTCAACCAGATGTATTGTATGACCGATCTCTCCTTTTTACCTTTCAATTTGTCTAATGTGCAACCTGATTTAAGTTTTTCATTCATGTGTGTCCATCGTGCCATGCTGGCATTATAATGTGTCGAATTTAATAGTATGTTTAATGTCAAATTCAATAGGGATGTTGAAACAGTTACATTTGAAATAACGTAATAAACCAGACCTGTCTATTCCCAATACCAATGTTTTAAAGGTCCCATGTCTTGGCCATTTCTACTGATCATATTTCCATTGTTGAGGTCTACTAGAATAGATTTAAATTGTGCAATTTTCCAAAATCACATTGGTTTCTCATACAGCATCTCTGTATAGTATGTGTACTCACTCTCTGTCCTAAACGGCTTGTTGGAGCTCCTGCCCCCCCCCCCCCCCCTCCCTGTGAGCCCAGTGTGCTCTGATTGGTCAGGACGTTGCGAGGCTCGTTGCGAGGGCTCGTTGCGAGGGCTCGTTGCGAGGCTCGTTGCGAGGCTCGTTGCGAGGCTCGTTGCGAGGGCTCGTTGCGAGGGCTCGTTGCGAGGCTCGTTGCGAGGCTCGTTGCTGCTGCGAGCTGCTGCGAGCTGCTGCGAGGAGCGGACAGGTTTCCGGGTCGGCTATACAGCGAGAACAAGCAAAACTCATCCTGAGCACACACAAACACTCACAGCCGAAGTAAAAACAATAAGTGTGGCTTGATATTGAGTAAGAAAAAGGTTTATAACGCTGTGAGAATGGGTCTGCGGAGAGCATTTCTCCGCGATCCCAACTCGTCTATTACCAGCGTTCAGGGAGCTCCATGCAAGTCAATGGGGACTCCCTGTTAGTTAGCCAAGGGATCCTGGTGTGTGAGGTGCTCCGCAGATTGGGTCATTTGTTGTTGATTTGGGTGTTCACACGTCACAGAACCCAGGAAGCAAACAATGGAAAAAGAGAAATCTCCAACGAGGCGTTCTGGGGCAGCATAGACAGGTCTTTTCTGTGTTAGAGTTTTACTCGCTACAGGGTGTACTTTGAGGGTTTTTGACCGTTTCCATGCAGAAGGGGACGGGTAATAACCAGAAAAGCATGACATGGGACCTTTAAAGAAAGTCTAGACATGAAACTACCACAACAGCAGTGACACTAAAACAGAAACAAGAACAGATTCAGAAATGGAGGTGAGTAGTTGAGGAGCATGGTTATCCACTAAATGCAATACCAATAGTTACAACTGACCTTAAGTGATGCGACTAAAAACAAACCCAATACAATAAGAAATAAACATGAAACTAGACTTTAAAATAAATCTTGAAGTAACAACTTTGCCATTAAACAATTAAAAAATACAGATGATTGTACTTTAATGCAGCTTTGACAGCTCGTAATATGGGGGGAGGTGCAGCTGTGAGTCAGTATTATTTCTTTTCGTCTCTGTTCCTGTAAGTTTGCATGAGAAAGCGTCAAGGTGCACAGCCTGACCACAGTATACTCATTTCACGACTCTCTTTGTGCGGTTTCCCTCTTTTTGCATGTGAAATAATGTGAATGATGGGATGTCATTTTGATGCTAATGGACTTCAGTGTTTGAACTGTGTGTCTAAAATGTATGCAAATTAAGAATGGAGAAAAAAAATGAAAGCTTCCTGTTGGTTTATAGGTATATCCTGTGGACTTTCACACCTCTGTTAATAGTGAGCTGTTTGTGTGTGTGTGTGTTGGAGGGTGCATTTGCATGCATGTGATGCTTTTCACAAGGTTACGGTAATATGATAGATGTTGCACATGTTTTATGAAGAATAAAATGGACGTTTAATGGGTTTATTGAAAAAGAACCTACTATTTATATTGCTTATCAGTGTAAAAGTGTTGATGTACATGCATGTACAGTAGGTGATGCTTTACTCAATGTGTTGGTATAGCAAAGTAAGCAATGCTGGATTTTAAATATTTACTTTGCAAAGGTTTTATGAGGAAGGAAATGCACTATTAATGGCCTTATCAATACAACCTGATAGTATTTATATATTGCATATCAGTGTAAAATCTCTACATGAATGATTTTCACTAACCATTTCATAGACGCAGTAACTGCCTCTAAAACCTCAAGATTAATATCACAGTTTTTTGTTTAAAGTGTCTGCACAGCGGCATGCAAAAGTGACACCTGCGCTGAGTTTCATGTGTTCATCTGTTTCCCGAGCATCGTGTGTTCCTGTTTTTTTCACACCTTTCGTCTTCTTTTCTGTTTTGCTAGGCGTGTGTTCTTTTGTGGTTAGAGAGGACGATGGAAATATAACCTGGCTATGAAAGTCATTTTTCGATCTTAGATAAGCATGTGTAATAATTAAATAATGAATGGAATTAAGTTTATCGAATTTAAATAAACACTAAATGGAAACAGAGAATGTCTGGAGGTTTTTTGGGAAAACCCCCAAAAAGCATAAAGGGCCCTAAAATGTGCCTTTTTCATAAAATAACTGTCCCCAGCACAGCTTAAATGGGTCTAGAACCAACACAAACACTCACATTACTGTTTCAAGTTTCACAGAAGGAGGATTTTATGGGGAAATATTTAGAAGAAATGGATCTTTCGATAGCGTCATGTGGTTTCAGACACCGGATTCTTTCCTTTTGATATCAATATAAGCGCTGTCTATGCTTTTTGGTTGAATACCATTTGTCGAAGCAGTGGTGTGTGTTGCTGCTTTGAGTTTTGTTTTCTGCTTTAAAACTAAACCAAACCCGCTGTCTAAGCCTTTCCTGACTATTGAAGGCAGGAAAAGGTTATTATTCATGTGTCCACTACCTGTTGTGTGTGTGCACGTCAATTACCATCACTAATATGTTGTAATAGTCTTGCTACTGTAGATGAGAATGTGAAGTAAAATATAGTGAATGCAAGATGCGTTACAATGTGTGTGTGCCCCAGGTAGGTTTTGAAACCATGGAGATCTCTTGAGGAACTGAAAGAAAACAGATACTTATAAATAGAAACAAATATTTCCACATGCTGTTTTTGAGTCCTATTCTAATGTCCTATGTTTGCCATCACGTTGCTAAGTCTAAATAGGAACAAATTATTTCTCTCCGTTGTTATACGAATTCAACAATCAAACCGAAAGTTCAATGCTGAATCATCTATGTACCGGTAATAGTGGCAATGCATAGATCATAGCATTATACATTTAATAAACTAATTTTGGAAGATTTATTATTCATATATGATTCATGATAATAAATAAAAAGCTAACATTGTAAAGCTCATTGAGAAGCTTCTCCTTTTTCCGCTGTTTGAACACCTGCAGAAATAGTTTTGTACATATCTCGTTTTTGAAAGTGGTGTCACCACAATGCAGGTCAGTGTGTCACTAGCATCAGAGCCCATGTGCTTTGGAGGCATTCACTGAAAAGCAGCAGGGATGGTTACGTAATCTGATGATGCATTGAAATGTTTTCAGTCCTGACACATTCAAGGGGCCCTATGATGCTTTTTGGGGGTGTCCTTTTCCTTTAGTGTGTCATAGGTTTTTGTAAATGGTCTGCAAAGGCTAAAATCTCGAAGTTCCCTCCAGAGAGAGTTTCTGACTGAAAGGCCTCCATTGGACTCCTTTGTTTACTTCCGTAACATAGTGACATCAGCACGCCTAGCGCTCCAACACATTGTACGTGATAATCTCAGAGGCGGGGACATCTCTAAATTGTTGACCAATAACAACAGAGCCGGCCAGCTAACCAATCAGAGCAGACTGGGCTCTGGTTTCAGACAGAGGACAGTGCTCATACCTCTGATTATTTTTAGTTTCAAGCTGTGTCGTTACTTTCTTCTCCCATTAGTGTTTGTTAAACAACTCCTGCTGGTTTAAGCTAAGGTAGTCAGAGTGGGAGACTCCAGAATTGTAATAATGCACATTTTCATATAGTTGAAAATGTGTTGCATGCGCTACTATGCACTCAATAAGGTGGTCATGTATGCTATGCATTAAAATAACAGCACAGGAAACTCTGCAGGATCTTTACAACAAACAGTTACTTAAGAAAGCATATAGTCTTTCCTGTCAGATTGTGTCCACCTTTTATGTCAACAGTTTCAGTTTCCTCCATTTGAAACCCTCCTCAGACTTCAACCTGGCTGAAACAAATACATTCAAACACTCCTTTGCTCTCTCCCTCCTAAACTCTAAGAGGAACCGTTTATTGTTAAAATAATGGTCTAATTTGTTGTTGTTTTTTAAATCTTTTTAATTGACCATATATATTTTACTCTAAGATATTAAAATGGATAACAATCTCGGATCTAAATGGTGTGTTACAATCTGAAACTATTCATTTGGTTA